TCGAAGCTGGACGAGTGTGTGACGCTTTTTTGCGCATCCAGCGTCCACAGTTTTTAATCACCTATATTTCACACTGCGCACTTCAGTTTACAGTCGTGGTGAGTGAAAGTAGCAGTTTAGCAGCCGGGCACACATTTACCAACCAAAGCGACTCACGCGGGGTCGAGCAATGTCCTGAATGTGTTCGACCTCCCCTGCGGTGACAAAATCGTGCCAGAGAACGATTGGAGGCTCAACTTGCATGATCTCCTCCTTCACTGGAGCCACCAAGAAGTAGGGGTGCGGAAAAGTGAGATGGCAGATCAACCGGGGGTCTCGAACGGCGGAGCTGTTCACAGTGCGACAAAGTTTCTCGTAGGCTGCCACCTCCGTATCCTCACGGTTCCTATCTAGAAGTGAATAGGAGAGTTTAAGGGGCTGAGAATAAAAGCAGATGGCAACAGTAGCTTACGTAGCCCCACTCATTAATCTCTACTTTCTGCCTTTTTTCCTACGAAAACGGTGGTTATAGGGTCTAATGAGTGGAGAATTAGGACACGCAGTGGAAAATACTTTAATAAAGGCTAAATGCATTTTTATTTTACTATACTTAGAAGTGTTGATGATTTATATCTGTAGAATTCCCTAATGTGTATTATCGTTTAACTTTTTGTGGAAAAACCCGATTATCGAATTGCAGGTATCTTGAATTTCCCGAAAAAATTAAAATGGTGGTTAGGATGTCGTCCACTTCAACTTACCCGAGGTCCAACTTACCGTTCTGGAGTTAGATTAGTATAGCCCGACGGCGCGAAGCGGCACACCTCAATTTACATGCGGAACAACTTACTCCCAGCGGCCGCGGGAAGCAACTTCGACTACGTTTTTTCGCTTTACACTTGCTTCTGAAAATTTCCTTCTCTGCCTATCCTTTTTCTTCATCCCCCCAAATTCTATAACTACCGTTTCTGCAGGACAGAATGCTGGGACTAGTAGTATATGAGTGGGCCTACATAAGCTACTTTTGTCAAGAAAACAGTTGTTAGGTGAACTATGCGATCCCTCAAAAGGGGCAAATTTCCAATAACGACAAAGGAGATGATGGAATCAACGATTCTGTGTAGTTGACAGCTCCCCGTACCCCAAGTTCTCTGACAATCATCGTTTAGACTCGTAGGGTATCGATCGGGTCTTGCCTGCGCCACCGTACGCGAGAAACCATCAAGGCGGAAGGGAACGTCAAAGCTACGACGTGCGATCGCGTTTGATGGTATGCAAGATCGCAGTCAACACTTTGGCCAAAAAGATGACCTTACAACGTTTTTTGTTGTTGTTTAAAACGTTTAATCAATGAGCGTGAAGATCAAACAGGCCCTATAATGGACAGGAAATGGTATGCAAACTTAAGCCTACATACTTCCGTCCTGCGAGGCTACAGCATCAGACGCGGTTGTTGTCTCTGATGATGGGTCCAAGCGTGAATCCAAAAACGTCAGATGAATAAAGTTTTTGTTTCAGCAATCGCATCATCTTCTACTTCCTGAAAATTGCATTTCCGTTCATATTTGCAAAATTCCAAATATCAGCAGATGGAGTGAGAAGCGTGGTTCAATTAGTAGAGCGTTTCACTTACTGCTTAGACTCCAAAGAGTCCGACATAAAGATTTAGCTACTCCTGGTTCCGACGAACAGTGAGTCGAAAGTGGGCATTACAGTCGCCCTTGATTTTGTCGATAATAACTCTCATTGTAATTAAGAATCCCCCTATTAATTAACTGCTTTTGGTAGTCATCTGGTGTATTCTAAATTAATTTCTTAGGAAACCCTGCTTGGGAAGTCAGCTTGCTGTTTTATACTGAGGTCATTGCATAGGTCGCAGTGGGCTGGGCGGACAAATTGACCTAAGTATAACTCAACTTATTAGGTGTTTGGGCGCTCTTCAATGGAATATGAACACACAATTCATTTCACCTGAAAGCCCTTCGTCTTCCCTGAACTCGCAACCGAAAAAACCACTTAGTTCCAACGCCATCTAAAAATGTATGCCAGAGGGTTTGGGAGAACTAAGTTGGCGAGCGTATCCAAATGCCAAAAGGTTTAGAAATTACTGATCATACTGCAGTTAGGTAATATACTGACCGAGAACCGCGGTTAAACAGCTCTACTCTCGAGGATAACCTGCGTTTCTATAGTCTTCAGTTGCGTTTATTGTATATTAAAATGTTAAGAAATAGTTAATAAATGCTTATACTTAGGGAGACTAGGACCTTTAAGACGGCGAGACCTTATGTTCCACTAGTTTTGGTTTGGTTTTTGGTGTTTTGGTTTTTGCGAGCTGCGAATACAAAAGTGGTACCAAGAGCGTAATTACGTCCTCAAATGTCCGCTGACGGCATTTTCAACTGTCTCCTCCCTATAAAAGTTTCAGAATATAGGTGCATCTAAGGATTTTTTAAACCTATCTTTCACTTGCATTCTATTCGATGAATGCTCTTTACTTCAGCAGGTAACATTTCCCGCTTTTGGTCACTGGTAATCGAACTATGACGAAACGAATTCGCCGATAAAGGCACAGAAAGCAACCATAGAAACCGGAATTTATAAACTGCGTTCCTTTTGTTTGTGCAAACTTTCGACGTCGATAATAAACAATCAATTAAGAAGATATGCGAAAACACTTAATGGAGACTTACGCTGTTCTTCGGGAGGCATTGGTTCTCCTCCGTGTAGACGAACAAGTTCGGACTCATAAAATCGTAAGCTTTTAAGAGCATTCTCATTGTTCGGATCTAAAAGGAGGCATGAAATAAGCTAACACTTCAAACTTACTTTCTTTGAGGAGTCGCTTTGTGAATTCCAGCGCTTCACGATAGTGTCCACGCTGAAAATAAATGAGACAGAAAGTTCACTCTACAGGGCCCTTTTCGTTTCTAATCTGTTAGTTGCCGTTTCATAAGACATGCACTCATGAAGGGGCGCTAGAAGAAGGACCGTGCACAAACATTTCGCGTAAATCTCTGCTAGAGGTTCTTTAACTGTGTAATTATGAATTCAAGTGCTTATTTGCCAAACGTTGTTTCAGCATGTTGATTGGCATGGTCTTAACACAGAAGTTTCCTGAGAGACGGATTTATTCTCAATAGAGCCTTACGTGTATGTTATCCCAGTGGCTTTTCACACTGTGTGACTTTGTGACCAATACGCCAGAAATGGCCACGCCTGTCTCCATGGTCTGTGTCGGTCACCACCTTCTGCATTTTTAAGTATATTTAAAATAGCAGATGGGTGCTTACCGATCGCGTTACCTGACAAACCCATTTCGTTGTGCGTTGGGGACTTGCAGTGGTCGTTGCTCGCCAGACGCCTGGCCGTCCTGTCGTGACCTCAATGCGTCTAGGCCCCAAGGTCGTGGCGGCCGCCAGACTTACTGGCGCGCGTGACGTGAATCACCCACTTCGATGTCCACGCACACGCTATTCAACAGGCCAACCTAGCCAATGAACGCTCTCTCACTCTGCCTACTGGCCTGACTGCTCTAAAACTGGCCCTTGGACTGCGGCTGGCTCTCCTGGCCGGTTGTATGGTCTCCAAGCCAAATCTATTTGCATCTATTCTTCGTTTCTCTGTGTACACAATATACTGTTCCTACTACCCTGGCCTTTCTAAGACTTCTTCTGTCTACTAAGTAACCATGGTCTGAAGATCGCAGTTGTCTGGGTTTTACTCACTTAAACCCCCTGCGATAGACTCACTCCTCAGCCCCCTCAGCAGCCACACAACGACTGGCAAAATAGTCAGAAAAACGTGTCCGGCAAAGACTAGAAAGACGACATGGTCCCTTGTGGCTTATGAGCCGTAATCAGCCGGCCGTGCGATCCCCGGGGCTTGGACTCGCAAGCCACGGGGGGTTTGACTTGTATGTTGTGATCTGGTATCTTAACGATGCTGAATGGGCGCTCCCCGATCCGGGATCATTGAGTACTACTTAGTCCAACGCTCTATAATTGAGCCGCAGGTCCGCTCTCCTGTCGGTTAGGATTAACACAATGGCACGAGCACGTCCCATAACGTGACAGGTTCGCACCCCTCTACCCTGTATAATATATCCGATCACATCTAACATGACAACGGGCCCGTGACCTTAATATTTTAAACATCAGGCCACCGGTTCGAGGCTTGGGATTTGCTAAATCTCGGGCTTGGTATGTCTGTCCGATGACAGCTTTCACCTTAGAAAAGGGTCATTCCATCTTTCCTATTCTTTGTTGGTTATCTTTTTCCATCTATATGTATCTATAAATATTAATATGCGCAGATATTCCGGTCCAGATATCGTAATCCCCGGAAGAGGAAGAAGAAGAGAAGGAAACTGCTGGAACCAGATTGCATTCGTGCTGAACTCTCAAAAACACACTCGTTTCCAGCTTCAGAGTACCTAGCTTACTTTTTCGTGAGCCATAAGGGAATTCGTCTCCCCGCCAGTCTCATATTATACCTGTGCTCGATGCACGTGTTTTTGCCTGCCCGTTGGCCGCTGGTTGGCTTCGTCCTCTTTGCTAGTAACCTTTGGTGGGTCCGCGTCTCCCTTGTTTTCTTTGCCACTATCGCGGCTGACGCTCTGCCAGTTTGCAACCCGTTTGCCTCCCCTTCGCTTCCCCTTCGCATATTAAGGTGGTCTTTGGGGAAACTGATTAAATCACCGATGATTAAACCATCCCAACCCTAGAGATCACGTTACCTTCCTATTCCAGCTGAACACCTGTGTCAGCACTTTCATGTATATACAGATCTATTGATATATAATTTCTATCGTCAGGAATCCTGATTCCATTATTGGAAAACGTGAGGTAAAATGCTAGAAAGTAAAGAAAAGTGCGAAGAAGACAGAAAACCGAGAAACTACTGCACTCATTTTAGTAATAACCTTTACTTACCCTTCCAATGGAATACTGAAGGTAGTCCAGTATACCTTCCAAGGGAAGAGGATAGATCTCATCGGTTTGTGGACTACCCCGGATGTTGTTACCCGTCTCGATGCGCTTCAAAACCAAACGGAACCACTCCTCTGCCCTGGCGTACTGTCCATGGTCGTAGGCATACTTTCCGAGAATGAAGCATTGGTAGTCTGAGGGGTGCGAATAAAATCTATTTAAGTCGGAATTTGCAGGTTGGTTCCGCTCAGCTTACAGCAGAAGTGTGGGTTATGTTCAACGATCTTTCCTCTCTATCCCAAACTAGATCATTTGAATTTTGATTAGATGGTATAGCGTTTCCAAAAGGAGTGAACGCTACGAAGTCGAAATTGTCTAGCTAGAATGGATGTATATTTGCGCATGAATTTTGCGTCGAAAATTGTTCCAGGGGATATTTACGAGAGACATTATACACTGAAGCCATACACGTTAAGCAGTAAACCACGAAACACACACCAGAAGCGCTAAGTTATTTATATTTACTATTCTTACTATTGTACTTATTGAAGAGGATGTAAAGGCAAGCGCAGATATTTGGTCCCCCTGGTAAGTACCTAATATTTTCGGATGATCGCCCTTCGAATGATCCAATTTTTTGCTCCATTCCATGGGTGTCTTAATTTTCATTCGATTGAGTCAACACATCTATCAGTACAACAAAGGCATCCAAGACCAATTAAAAAGCGAGATTCCCATACCCTTGCTCCCTACCCTTTGTTCAATGGCCAGTGCAGAGACTCAGTGTAGAACCAAAACACAGAGGAGCACTTTTTTAGGACTTAGAGTAGGTGCTGCCCTGTAGCTTCTCGTAGGCTTTTTGGTACAACCCTCATAGAATTACCCCGGGTACAGTGGTTAAAGAAATAATTTATTGACGGTTCACTTGCCAAGTTGGGGCGGGATTGCCCTAAGTAAAAGCGTGTCAGGGAACAACATCGGTTTTGCGGGTTCCAGCGGACAGTGCAAAGAGTTACAACAAACAAGTCGTGGATTTGATCTTCAGGGATGGCAATAACTGGAGTGCTGACGGCCAATAAGCCAGAACTGGCCAGCCCAGTCTCCCTTGTCTTTGCCAGCCATGTCAATTTTTCCAAACTACTAACCACTCTACGGTAACTTGCGTGGCTCGTGCTTCAACCCAAATGCACAAGTGAGCGAGTGTTCCACGTACCACGATCGGCGAGCGCCGACTGACTACTGTTAATATACCCGATCGCAAACTCCAGGACAGAGTCCGCAGCACAATGGCTAGGGCGTTGGTCATCTAACCAACATTTCGCGGATTCGATTCTCGCGTGTTGTGACACCTGGGGTTGGGTATGGCCGGCTGATGACGACTAATAATCCAGAAACGACCAGTTCAGTCATCCTTGTTTTTGCCCGTAATTATACTCTGTCTCAGAAGTTTATCTGCGGACTTCATTTGATGCTCACGCTCATATGCAAAATTTATTTGAAAAGATTATTAACTTGCACTATTATTGGACGAAACTCAGATTATAATATTACTCTCGTGAATTTTGACGCCTGGAGTGAAACCTTACCTTTATTACAGCAGTAACCTTAGACAATCAATACCGTTATTTCCACCTTACCACGGGTAATAATATCACTTATTTATTGGGTCCCTTCTGATTGCGTTGCTGATTTCCCGTTACCGAACGTAACATCCATCTGCAGCGAGGTTTATCTCCCGATGTTCAGTAACGAGTACTGTAAAAAACGTGATCGAATCCGCTTCTACCGTGCTGAGTTCAGCAAACGAGGGTTCTCATCGGACGAGTATTGCTTGCCAAGGCCTCGGCAAATGGTACAACGTTCTGCCGCCTTCTCTTCAGTGCAAATTTTATGTTTTCAAAAGCACACATGGCAAGGCAAGATTAAAACTCCCTCCTTGCTCAAGCCAACATTCTAGTCTTGTTTTTCATATTTAAATGAGTCTGCCCAATCCCGCGGCTTGGACAAAATTTTGGAAGTTTTATATCCGGGGAAGAATTTGTCGACTAATAAACCAGTTAACGCCCCTGGAGCGCAGTGATTCTGCAAAGAATTTGGACTGTTAGCGTCAGTTGTTGAGAGATAGTGCAAGATTTCTTGGATAATGTTATGTTAACCCATTTTATCCATGTTTAGAACGGAGTACGACCGCGTAGCAACAATCGAATTAGTCTGGAGCCGAAACTTCGTGTCCACTTAG